CTAAGTTATCTCAGTGGGTCTCAAACGGTTTGGTCACAAATTATTCAAAAGATTATTTCCGCGGCACACCTTCATATGATCATTATAGTTATAAAAAAAATAAGAGAATAAAGGAAAAACAGTTATGAAATACTATATGGCAGTAAAACAAGAATAGAGTTTAAAAGGGGAGTGATTAGTCAAATATCCATAAAGAAAAAGTACATCTGTTTACAGTTCTGCTTCATATGGGTGTTGAGAGAGGTATCCATAGATCTCTTCATTTTGCTCTCAAAGTGCACCAGATTGATGCATTTAACCTCAATATTTAAAAAAAAAATCTTCCGGGGGGAACATCCCCCCGGACCCCCCAGAGGAGGTGAGCCCCCCCACTCATAAAAAATACCACTTTACCCCTGCATATATGCCGTGAGCTGATTATCGAGCCTTCATTGCAACAGTCGCGGGTGTACTGTGTGTGTGCGTGTGGGGAGTGTTGCAGTAAAAATGCCACTGTAGTGCCGCCGCCACTGTGGGCTAAGCCCCGAATGTTTTCAGGTCCAGGCGACGCCCCTGCTTCAGAGCCACTATTTCAAGCATACTACGTCATCGAGTGCCGCCGAAGTACTGTTCCAATCTCCAGCATACTTGGAAATCTACAGAGCCCGGCGTACTCCGTTTGGAGAAATATCGAGGCTGCACATGAGTATACTCCGCGGTCTTAAAATCCCCACAATTGCGCACGGACCAATTTCCCCAAATCTGTGGCGGAAGATGTAAGGCGGGGCCTCTCATATGACGCACACCTGCACACTTGCTAGCCTGTTCCACTCTTCGTTTTCCGAATGTCAGGAAGTATTCTTGCCTCGCTTCTGAAGCAAGATGCTCGGCAGACATGTGCTACCAAGCAAGCGTACTCGCGATTGAGAAACACCCTCTATATATCCTTTATAGAGATGCGAAGTCCCTCCCCTTCCGGTGGGACTCATGGGACCTTATTTCGGAAAAAGTTTGTATTGAAGTCAATGGAGAGAGAAAGATTATCTTTCGATCCCGTTTGAATTGTGCCACGAATTACACATATGATGTTTGTCAATCTTAAATAATAATTTCCGTGTCAAAAAAGTCACAGTTTGTCGTAAAACTGTTGAAATATAAGACTATGAAAAATATGCAACTAGAAAGACTACAAATCCCAGAATCCCGGTCCCGCATGCTGGCTCTAACCCCTAGATTCCACCGGGTCCGTCTGCGGCGCGTTACGGGCGCGTTACGGCTGCGCCGCGGTGCTCATGGCGATCGCGGCCACTCTAGTCAATGGGTGCTATTCCACCACACGCAGCGCGTTACGGCTCAGAAGCGGCCCAGAAGCGGCTCCGCGCAGGGCTCCTCTAAAATTAGGATCGAATCCTATTTTTGTCGCGGCGCAGCCGTAACGTAAGGTCGGGCAGGCAGGAAGTGGAACGTTCAGAGCATATATAGCATATATATATATATATATATATATATATATATATATAGGCCTACACACACACACAAACTAATTTTGCAGACCCTATCCCTCCGTAGTCTTTCAAGTAGGAGGAGAAATGCCAGCGTTCTCCTCCGGTTTACAGGCACTGTGTAAATTATATATATAGAATAATTCTGATGATGAATGCATTTTTTTACCACTAAAATACAGCAACACATCTTTGAATCATGTCGTTTATAACTGGAATATTACAGTTATTATTAACTTTGTCTGTACAAAGTAGCCTGTCCAGGAAATATGCCCAAATCAACAAAAACTGCGAGCCGGCAGGCAAGACGCTCCGCTTCTGAAATGCTTCTGAAACGCGCCTGGTAGGGTATGACGCCGGAGGAGGCCGGACCAAAACTGCAACGCGGCGCAGACGGACCCGGTGGAATCTAGGGGTTACGGAACCGACTAACTCTCCTTATGTGTATGTACAGCTCTCAACATGCCCAGACTTGTAGTGATTTTCACCTCTTTTAATACTTTTCGCCTCATTCTGAAAGAAAGAAGTGAAATGTGCCAGCGTGACGGCTGTCTTGGTGTGTGGTGCGAGACGGGAGATGAAGTTCATTGAGCGGTTTCACACAAAAAAGTGTTACTTCACAGTTTTACGACACATTTTTATTTTTTTGACTTGTAAAATTATTTTTTAAATTGACAAACATCATATGTGTAATTCGTGGCTCAATTCAAACGGGATCGAAAGATAATCTTTCTCTCCCCATTGACTTGAATACATACTTTTTCCGAAATAAGGTCCCATGGAGCTCCCCCGGAAAGGGAGGGACTTCGCCTCTCTATAGAGTGGCGAAGTCACGCCCATCTACTTCCGACCCATGGGACCTTATTTCTGAAAAATTATGTATTGAAGTCAATGGAGAGAGAAAACGTATCTTTCGATCGCGTTTGAATTGTGCCATGAATTACACATATGATGTTTGTCAATCTTAAAAAATCATTTCCATGTCAAAAAAGTCACAGTTTGTCGTAAAACTGTTGAAATATAAGACTATGAAAAATACGCAACTAGAAAACTACAAATCCCAGAGTCGCGTACGTCATGTCATAACTGATGTCACAATTGTTTTCCTCCACTAAATAAGAGATAGCTAAGATAAGATAACTTTAACAAGATGCCTGTGTGCTTAGTACCAGGTTGTTATCATACCAGCAATGGGTCTTACTCGTTCTTTCGCTTCCCGTCTGATGAAAGGACCAGGAGTGGCTGGATCAAGTTTGCTACCTAGCTAGTAGCAAGCACGTTAGTTAGCATTACAGCCTTGTCATTTTTATTAGCCTTAACATGAAGTAACATTAAGTAACCCAAAATGTTAAACAGTAAGAGTAGTAGTCATATTTCGTGAACCCTTTGAAGAGTACTGTCACACCGGTGTGATCATTCTATAATACACCATTTAAGCCCGGGGGAGAAATGCTAACGCTACATTAGCATTGGCGATCTTCTCTACTTCATGCTATCTGCACAAATGGTTAACATTGAACATTAAAAAGATCAGGCAGTTCAGAGAGAATCAAAGGAAGGCAGGCAGGCAGGCAGCTTTGCATGACATTCTTCTGGACGTGTTTCATTGTGGTGATAGTGAGGGTAGTCAATCCCTTTTTTTGGCAAGACAGTAGTGACGGCCATCTTGGTGACGTGTGTTGTTGTGCGAGACCAGAGATGTAGTTCATTGAGCGTTTCACACAAAAAAATGTGTTACTTCACAGTTTTACGACACATTTTTTTGAATGAACAATGAATACTTACAGGTTGTGTACCCGAATCTCCCGCTGGTCCAAAAAAAGTAGGAGTAGTGTGTGTGTGTGTGTTGCATGCAGCAGCCGCATGTGTGCAAACTACCCCGCCCCCTCGCACACACCCTCATTTGGGAAGCTTTGTTTTGTGAAAGGCTGGCAGAGGGTGCGGACATAGCTCTGGGCGTGGCGACTGGGTATCCCTACGTAGTGATACCCAGGAAGTAAACAATGGAAAATGAGAAATCTGGATGGAAAGATGACATTTGTCTTTGTTTCATTAATTATTGTGAGGATACACCAGATCTGGTTGAAGCGACGAGGAGCAAAAGGTTCAGTATGTTGAAGACAAAGGCTTCATTTCCTTGGAACAATAAATCATCTGGTAAAAGATTGATGGAGACCAAATAGGAATCCTGATTCAGGTGATTGCTTTCAGGTGAACACTCCTGCATGACACACCCACACACAGCAATGCAAAGCAGGAGTTCAGGTTTGACAAGTAAACACTGACCTCATGTAAACTCCAGCTGAGCTTTACACAACTCCAACAGGTGATCAGTCACATGACTAAAAACAGCAGTGTGTTGCATGGCTTTTATCTTCAGTGTTTGTCATTGGTCCTTGTTTTAAGGGGTCTTGCGGCACTATGAGGGGTATACGAAGGTGTTTCAGGGGGATGCTATAGGAAACCAGAGGACTTTTAGGGGTCCCTGCTGGATTCCACTTGTTCTTTTGATGTGGTTCCAGGTGTACTTTATTAAGGTATTTTAGGGACACTTGAGGTTGATTTAGGGGAGGAATAGAGGAAAACAGGGTCCAACAAAATCACAAGTTAGGGTTATTAAGGGTTCTTATGTTTGTTTCTCAAGGTTTTTTTTAATTACACTGTTTGTGAGGGATAGGGTTGAGGGTCTTTTTATTTATTTAGTCTTTTGTGTCTACCATTAGAATTTGGGAGTCACTATATGTTGATCCTGCAGGGTCTTCTGGAGGATGAACGTTTAGTCACATAAAAACACCATTTAAAAATATAAAACAAAGTATTTAACATTTCCTTATTTATATCCTCCTTTATTACCTCATTGAGTGAACATAAAAACACAAGACAAGCAAATCGTTTGGAAAAATAAGTAGAAGAGAAAGAATAAAAGAAGAATTTTAGTTATGAATACAAGTAAACAAATGCACAAAAATGTCTCTGACAAACAGTCACTAAGAACGTACGTGAAGAACAAAGCGTTAACATTCATGAGACTAAAGAAACACAATTATCAAGTTTTTTAATATAACATGTTTACAGTGAATTCCACTTATTAAAACTCTATTGTGTTTTCAATAACAATCAAACAGTGCATCACATTTTAATAAGGGCAAATAACAAAAAACAAGTGCTGATGCCCATCACCCTAAGGTGATGGGCATCAGCACTTGTTTTTTCTTATATTTCTATATTACCATGCATTAATGAGTTGCATATTAAAGGTGGGGTAGGTAAGTTTGAGAAACCGGCTGGAGATACACTTTTTGTTATATTCCATGGAATGCTCTCAACATCCCGATAGCAATGAATATCTTAAGTGCTTTGACAAAAAATCCATAAAAAAATGTCATCTGTGGAAGCCGTAATACTGTAAAAAGCACGACCAATCATTTTAGCCGGCCCGGCTAAAATAACTGGATGGCCTACCTGCCTGTCAGCCTTCCATCTGTGCACAAACTTATCTCGTGCCCTCATTGGTCATTTGCGCGTTCGTGTGTGTCCAAAATTACCTACCCCACCTTTAATTTACTTAATCTAAATGTAATAACATTTTCAATTATAATACCTTACATTTATGTCATTATGACCTAATTCTTCTTCTTGAGGTGATTGTGTCTAAATAAAGTTATCTGTCTGCTTCAACTTGCTGGTGTCTGTCTTGTCAGGCAGCTTTCCTTCAGCTCTGAAATTGACAGCTTTCCCGCGTATCGGTGGCGTGCAAAGTCGCCACGAGCGCTAGGGGCTCCAATTATTATTTTTAAAAAAACAATTTTTTTAAAGTGCCGCCGCTATTTGTATATAGGGTAAACACTTTTTCACACACACACACACACACACACCTGAGTCACAGGCTGTATTCCTATTTGTTTTCATTGTCTGACATTTGATATACCTGAGTACATTTATTCAGGTAAAATAATACCGCCGCCGCTATTTGTATATAGGGGAAACACTGCCCTTAATTCAAAATATACAATCTTGAGGGCATAAAGAGACGAAGAAAGAAATGTGCAAAAAGGTGTAAAATGTGTGCAGATTTAAAAAAGGAAGTGCTTCTTGTTTCAGAGTAACGTAAATATTATGTATCAGACTGATGTGAGGGACGTTAACGAGATTCTGATGAACCCGGCTTGTTTTCCTCCCTTGAGCTCAGAGCAGGTCCCGGCCGCGGCGCTCCACTTTGCGGGCCAGCTCCGGGTTCTTGCTCCGGTTCTTCCTGTGTTTCGCTCTGAAACGAGTTTTCACTGACGGCATCTCGCTGAGGCGCAGATCCTCCTGCACCCACCCCGAGCTGCTGGCCTCCTCCTCCTCCTCCTCCTCCTGAGGGGGGATCTGGTGCAGCACGGCCTGAATGGTGTGGAACAGCCTCACACTGGAGGGGTCCTCCTTCAGGAAAGGCCTCTTCTTTCCCCCGTACCTCATCCTGTGCACCAGCTGGTGAACCAATGTCCCCTCAAACAACCTGAGGGATGGGTGGAGGTCAACTTAATATTTTATTTCATTGCAAAAATGGTTTGGATACAACTAGAACATTAGGTGTGCCAAGAGAGGAGATGTAAATGGTCTACCAAGGCTAAACGCCTCCATTGGACTCCTTTGTTTACTACTGGAACATAGGAAAGTCTCACCTGGAGAGGGGGGGCTCAGGTAGGACTAACCTGGAGAGGGGGGGCTCAGGTAGGACTAACCTGGAGAGGGGGGGCTGAGGTAGGACTCACCTGGAGAGGGGGGGTTCAGGTAGGACTCACCTGGAGAGGGAGGGCTCAGGTAGCGGTAGGCCCAGCAGCTGGTTGAGCTGCAGGCTGGACTTCAGGCAGGACTGCCACTGGTTCAGAGAGTGAGACACCTGCATGTCCAGCTTCTGTCTGGGGGGGGGCAGGGCTGAAACACACACAAACACACACACACAAACACACACACACCTGAGTCACAGGCTGTATTCCTATTTGTTTTCATTGTCTGACATTTGATATACCCGAGTACATTTATTCAGGTAACATTTTGAGGTACTTTTGATGCTTATTTGTTGATTCCACTCCACTACATCTCTGAGGGAAACATTGTATTATTTCATCCTTCACAATCAATTCACAGCTTTATTTAATTTACAGAATTACATTTGAATTATCAAGAGAACGGTTTCACTGGAAATTGAGCGTGGCGGTATTAATGACAGGAAGTGACACAGCGCTGCTCTCATCTTTTAATGAGTGTGTTTTTTTACCTCCCCTGAAGGCGTCTCCGGAGCTCAGCCCGAGCAGCAGAGCCTTCAGCACCTCCTCGTCTGCAGGAGGCTGGGCTCTCTGCAGCCAGAAGCAGGTGACGCACACAGGAAGGCGCAGGGCGGGAAGCACGGGGGCCAAGGAGGCCTCAGGGACCCCCAGGGCCTCAAGGAGAACCTTCAGACGTAGAGAGGCGTCCGCCTGGGGGAGGAGGAAGAAATGTCCCCATTAAAAAACATTAACTTGCTAATTGTCTAAATGACACGACTCAACGTCATCATGGCCAACATTAGCCGCCTTTAGCTTAGCGGTGGTGACGTGAATTCATGTGGCCGTGCTTTACTTTCTTTATAGCCCAACATTAGCCACCTTTAGCTTAGCGGTGGTGACGTGAAGTCATGTGACCGTGCTGTAGTTCCTTTATAGCCCGACTTTAGCTTTTTACTTCAGAAATCTTAAAGTGGTGTTAGCATGTGGAGATTATCCTACTGAACTAAACGTGTAAGTATTATAAACGTTTGTTACAGACATTATTTTATGTCATAATCCAAAATCACATGGAGGTATCCCATTGGACCAGGGAGATGATTCCTTCAGGGTCCAACACAGAAATAACACTCCACCCCAGTATAAAGACATAAATACCAAATGTAAAGATGCACAGACCCACCTTATCCAGTGTTTGCAGTGAGAGCTGCAGAGAGCTTGCTGTGGAGGCGGTCTTCACGGGGATGAGCCTCAGCTGCAGCCCCTCCCTATCTCGCTCCATCACCTCCCTGCCCTCGCCCAGCAGCAGCCCGTACATCACCTGCCGCAGCGGCCTGGCGGTAAGGTGAGCGCTTGGTGCGGCGTCGAGATCCACGAAGACGCTGAAGCTCATCCTCTGCAGCAGCAGCACGTCCAGGATGACCGGCGGCAGCCTAGCCTGAATCAGAGGCAGCCGGAACCAGTCCGGGACACCAGCCACCTCCAGGGGGACAAAGTGAGGATACTTGTTAGAGGAGAAGGACTGCACATCCTGTACTGGAGTTAAAGTAGAAGTACTCAGATCTTGTACTTGAGTAAAAGTAGAAGTACTCAGATCATGTATTTGAGTAAAGGTAGTATGAATTAAGTAAAGTCCTGCATTCAAAATGTTACTGAAGTAAAATTAGGAAAGTATGATCATCAACATATAGTTAAAGTAGCCAAAGTAAAAGTAATCATTGTGCAGATTGGTCCATTTCAGAATAATATATATGATATGTTTTATACTGTTTGATGCATTAAAGTGTTGTCAAAGCTGGTAAAGGTGCAGCTAGTTTTAATGACTTTGTATACTGCCCAACAGCTCTTCCCAGGTCCAAACAGTGCAGTAATCCCCAGATATGCATTATTTGGAAAAACTGTTTATTTGACAAGTAAAAGCTGATAGCAAAGTAATAGCTCTTGAACGGAAGTTGGAACACAAAATAAGGCACACAAAATGTGGAAGCGACCTATATCAGGTGAAGAATGGAGGTGAATATTGAGTCTCTTTGGATGAAAGTTAAATGTTATATATTATCATTACTTCTGTGGAGAATGGAGGTGCTATCCCATGGGTGAAGAACTTCTTGAGGGCGCTGGGAGGAAGTTGGTACTCCTCCATCCCCAGATTCAAGCCCTTCATCACCTCTGCCTTTTTGTTGGCGCTCAGTTCTCCCATCAGCCCCAGCGCCGCCTCGAAGGCCTCCTGAGGCTTCTGGAAGTTCTGCAGCCAGCACAGCAGCCCCTCCATGTGGCCCGTGTTCCCGCCGCCTGCCGGGGCGAACTGATTCCAGCTGACGCCCGCCTGCAGCCGGTGTGGCTTCACGTAGTCGTTCCCAGCCAGGGCGGCAAAGGCGGGCAGGAGCTGGCGCTGGATTTCAAAGTAGATGCAGAAGCTGGGGGTGTAGTAGCTCTTACAGGGGATGTAGCTGTTGGAGCCCCTCCGCTCGACCGCCTCCCACTGGAAGTCTGAGAGGGGCAGTAGCCCCTCCGGAAGGTCGTAGATGTAGAAGTCGCTGTCTCCGGAAAGCACCGGGCACTGCCACTCCCGGGCCAGGGCGGCGATCTCCAGGTCAGTCTCTCCATAGCACTGAGCCACCTGGACGTCCAGCCGCCTCAGCGTCTGTCGGAGCACCAGCTTCACCAGCGTCGGCAGGATGTCCTCGCGCTGGCCGCCCTGTGCCGCTTGATTCGCCCGTTTGATATGACCCATTGCTCTGTTCTTCACGGTTTCATTCTTCTTTTCTGAGATGTCCGATCCTCCGTCCAGCACTATGTAGGGCGTGATCTGACAGTCTCTGAGCACTTTAACAAACCTCTCAATAAGGGCCGCGAACGCAGCATACTCCCCGCCGTGATTCTGGTCCAGACCTGAGCAGTCAATAACAGGAAACACAAGGAACACATTGAACACAGCAATACGAAAGCTCTTTTCACACATGCTCTGCAAACCTTCGTGGTGTTAGAGGCCACGTTGTAAACGCCCCCCAAAGCAGATTACATTGATCTTGCATGTAGATTCTGGGCGGTTTTGAAGTCCTAAAAAGATTGGACGGCCGTTCACCGGAGCCTTATCAGCACCGGAGTTCGGTATCGGAGACGGCCTAGATATTAACATTGGTTGTATCGAAGCTAGATTCCTTTTCAATACAATACATTACTGTATAATACGCAGCGACGTGCAGTCAGTGGAGGCAGGGGAGGCAGAGCCTCACCTGTCATACTCCAATGTAACGGAAAAAACAACTAAAGAAAAACGAAATAGTAATAATAATAAAATGTCTCCACTGATCTGTGTTGTAAGTGTGAATTCTGTATGATTCTAATCGCTTTTTATAGTCAAAATCAGCAAATTTGCCGAGCTCCGCTACGGGAGCGATGACAAGTGAGGCAGGGGCGTGCTCTGCCTCTCGTAAGCCCACAGTAACTTGCTGGAGCACGGGCACTAATTTAGCGCGGCCACTTATTTTGTGAGCGTGCTCAAGCGAGTTATACCCCTTTCACACCAACGGTGTTTCAGGGCCGGTTCGGTGCTGGTGCTTGAAAAGCACCGGGTTTTCCTGTTCACACCGCAGCGGAGCAGCGTCATAGCTCCGGAATCCGGTTCGTTTCGAGCACCAAAAAGTTGTCCGTCTCGAAGCAAGAACCGCATACGTCACGCTTACGTCGGAGGGGGGCGAGATTAACCTGAGCTAACACTTAAGGCGAGTACGGCAAATACAAGTTGTAACAAGCAGTAGTGCTGAGCAAAGTGACTAGAACGCAACCACACACTTGTTAAAAAAAACACACTTTATAAAGTCAGGCAACACTAACCAGGCTTCGTGTGATTCTGTTTATTTGTACCTTACTTTGACCATCCGTTCGCTGTTATTGATCATTGTGGAGAGCAGGCAGACGTTTTGTTTGTTATTATAGCAGCTATCGGATGGAATCAATACATGGGCTGCACAGGTTGTCATGTCCGACTATCACAAGTAGAATCATAATGAAAAATACGTCGGTAAAAAGTGCCTGTAGAAAACTGCTTAGCAAGTAGTCAGTTTAGCTTCGGTTGCTATGCTAACATCACCCATGTTATACCAGAGAAACTTTCATAACAGCGTTGTGATGCCAAACAGCGTCAATTCAGACTGACACCAAACAGCGTCAATTCAGACTGACACACATTCACTTAAGGGGAACTGGGGATATGTATCAGCTGCTTGTGTGACAGTCAGACAGTGAATACTTTAGAGCCGTGTGAGCTAACCCGGAGCTAACGGGAGAATACACTCCCGTTGAAGAGCAGCCGGCCAGCACTGCAGCGGTCGGTAAATGCCGCTGAAAACACATTAATAAACAATGAACCACGGCACTCTGGAGAAAAGTATAAGGTTGGAGAAGTCGTTATTTAATTTAATCTGGCTTCGTATGATTAAAAGCAACGCAGTCCCCGGCCCGTTGTTGTTGTGAGGTGAGCTCCGGCGTTGGGGAGAAACTCAGCGACGTAAACTGTGACGTCATGACGCAGCAGCGGCAGCACCAGTCGGGCTCTGAGCGGTGTGAAAAGAGCCGGCGCTAAACCGAAGAACCGGTTCTGAACCAGAAAAGCTCTAGCACGGAGCTTGAACCGGAGTTGCGTTGGTGTGAAAGGGGCATTACTGTGTGGTAAGGTGAGGCACAGATGAGATCTGCCTCACCTCAGAATGCGCCACCCCACAGAAACTGTCTGGAAAGCGGGCACTAAGCGCATGCCTGTTACCATCTCACTGTAGGTCACCAATGTAATGTATGTAGATCCCTTTATTACATTTATCCTCGCCATCCATAGTCTCTAAATAACTTATTTCACGTATATATGATATTTAGGCTCGCTGGTCTCAACGGCAATGAAAAAAGCACCAGGGGAGGCAGCCATAACCTCTGCCGCACTGAAGGGGGCGCACGTGAGCCCACAGGTTCTTGTTGCTACTGTAATTCTACGCAGAGACGGTCGACGTAACAACAAACTAGACTTTTGAAACTACAGGAAGATAAGGAGGACTTTTACAAACAAGTAATAGAGATTGTTGTCCAGAAGGATAGCATGGACTTCATCTTCAAGTCAAGGTAAGACCACATTTGTAATGAAAATGGGATCTTACTAAGAAAGAACAATCCAATATTTAGATTTTGGGTATCATTTTGTTGAACGGTCTGTTTAAAATGAATCGAAGCATCAGACTAAAAAAGCTTTTGAAAGTAACCGAATATTTCGATTAAGGTCAAAATATAATATTTGTAAATCTGACTCAGTGAGTCAGTGCCTCACCAGCCATGAACCTCACCGCACGTCACTGATAATACGTGATGATGTATGAGTTGATTTACTTCGATCTACTGTACTGTGTACACCACAACAATATTACAAAAAATATACTGCATATCAAAGCAAACTATTGTAAAGGTATGAGTATAAAAAATAAAGAAGTGTAAACATTTACATTATTATTATGATTATTTAATATATAAAGACTATATATTATTGATTTACAATTAAGATAATAAGATTATATATACTGTATTTGATCTAAAATATTGATGTTTTTTCGTTATAGTAGCCTGTGAAAACCATAACAAATAAGTGATTAAATGCTACAGTATTCAGCAAACACAACTGCAGAGCTGCAAACATTGCAAACAGACTAAGGTCTACAACACCCAGTTGTCTTTGTGTATTTGTGAATGAAGCGCCATCTCATGGTTAAATCCTGTAATTGAACAAATGGGGACATTTCAATAGTATGAAGCTGCAGGGTCGGAGCATGGATGTATAACGGCCCGTCCACACAGCAGCGTTAAAAAAATCTTCCAACGCTTCTGCCCATTCACTTTGAATGGGGTGACGTCACTTTGCCTCACTTTTCGCCGAACTGCATTGTGGGAAGCAAAGCGGAGATTTCCAGGCATCTCAGGCTTCAAAAGTTGAGCAATGTTCAACTTTTGAAGCTGAGGTGGAAGCATCAGCCAATCAAATCCCGTTTATGCAAATCTGACAGTACAAGCGCTAGCCAATCAAACCGCGTGTATGCTGGGAGAGACATACCACAGGTCATTTCCTCATATTCCAAAAGATGGAGGAGAAATTAATTATAGCGGTAGGGAATCACCCGGTGCTTTATGACCAGTCCCTATTTACCTACCGGCAGTGGCGGCGCCAGGGTATGGCTGGGGTAGGCTACAGCCATACCAAGAAATGGCTTAGCCCCACCTTAGCCCCACCATGAAAAGTGATGCAAATTCAATTAAATAATAAGCGAAATGCTAAATGTTGAGAACACGGATTGCGAAAATATACGGGTCGTGTCCACAGCACACAAACTGATCCTGCTGTAACAACAAGTGCACGTTACTGATGCACTATGGTTGAGACCATTCGGGCTTATGCTATAAGAGGGGTGCAAGGAATAGTCTAAGTAGTGGGGGAGTTTTATACACTAAAGGTGTGGAAATTCTCTGGCGTTATATCAGCGCGGCCGCGGTCAGATCAAAATGCCTCCGAATGCAATTTGAATAGACCTACAGCCAATCAGAGCAACGCAACGTTGGATCTGCGTCATACCTTATTGATTGAGATCAATCGAAACTGCCATTCAGTATCCCCATTGGATCTTCAACGTGTACTATCATACGTCACGTTCACAGTGATCCCTTTTTATTTACTACAAGACAAATGTGCCGTTTTATTTCATACAGTTCCATTTTGATTGAGACAGGGAAATAATCTAAACCTCACGCGTGGCGTTTCACTGTCAAGGGGGGCGATATAGCGTGTATGTAATTACATTGCAAATACTGACTTGAGCACCACCACTGTATGGGTTAGCCCTACCATAGATTACCCAACAAAAATGCTCTGGCGCCGCCACTGCCTACCGGGATACAAACCGGAGGAGCCATGCATGGAGGGAGGTGGCAGAGACAGTGGTAGGTTTTCGCCTGTTTGGGGAGTTTATATCCAGTTTACTTCGGGCTTTTTTGCTTTGTATGTCGGGGGCGGGAGATTCATGTGATTGGTTGTTGGTCGCGTTGCTCGCAAAAAATCCCCAAGCTTCAGATACAGATGAAGCGTCTTATTTTGGACAGTTTAAAGTGCGAGGGTCGTGATCGGTTCATGCACGTTCCGTGATGGCCGGCCGGCCCCCAGTCAGACTTGATACCGCCCCCATGATAAATACATTTAATTATTGTGAAGCCAGCTGCAATGGATCATTGATCCACCAGGGGGTGCAGTGGGGTTCCACACTGGAGTCATGTGAAATCAACTTCTAAATAATAGATGTTGTTTAGTCGGAAAAAACGAACGAGCCGGCTCTCCCGATTTTTAATCCTAATTTAATCATCATCATTGATGTTTATGTTCGCCGAATTGACATGAAATCACTGACAAATATGAATATTCTGTATTCAACTTCATTGAAACGATCAGGATGGGTGTTATTTTTCCCCACAATGACCAAGTCGCTGCAAATGATCCCATGTATTACATGTACATGGCCACATTCTCAACAAAGTTACGTAACGAAACATTCTGTATTCCTTGCTTACTTTTTATTTAATGCTTTATAACAGCTGGAATAGTTCGTTTAGAACAGGCACCTCACTCGCAATCTGCTCCTCCGCAACGCCTACCACCTACCTCCGGCTGAAATTATGAATGTACAGTAAGGCATAGTAATCATAGATAACACGGCAGGGTCCGTTACAGTTTGTTTTCATCTGATTTCAAATATTTCAAATGTCTGAAGTTAATAAATACATTCTCAGTGTTCAAGTCAATAATAGTCATATAAGAAAAGTACTGATCTAATAACAGAGATTTTATAAGGACTTTTCAATGTTCGACATCG